ACCTTTTTCTGCACGATAAAAAGCTTGACACACCTCATAATTGTGTTTGATATTTCCCTTACCAGAGTACACAAACTCCAAATACGCCATCAATTCTTTCACAAATTCACAATGATTTATCAAATCAATCACTTCACTATCAATGGAATTACGTATTTGTAAAAACAAATGAGCATCCACTCTTAGCCATGAGGCTTTCGAGCCATCACTAGATGGTTCATTAGTTAAGTGAATATCCTTTTCTTCACAATTCTTTCTCAAGTTACACAGTTCTGTTTAACTGCTAAAGTGTCCAACTGCAACTAACACGAAAAGATATCTCTATCAAAAAGATACTATGTTCACAGAAAACAATGTATCTGTTGGGACCTATAAGTCGTTTAGATTTTAGGCCATAATACTATTGAAAGAAATTAATTCAATAAACCGAAGAAAAACTGCAAAAGAGGAAGTTAAAGTCGAGAATCCATGATCATACTTTCAACATCAAAAACTAATATGGTATCCTTATACATCCTTCGTTAATCTATATGCTGAATTACTGATGCACGCAAGCTTGATACACTACAAGAAAACCTCATGTTTGATGAAGATTTCAAAAGGAAAAAAGAACAAATGACATCTAAACATATCAAAAAAAAAAATACCTGGATATCAACATAAGAAGTGACACTAAGAGCCCAATCCGACCAGTCAGACATGTGTTGCTCTTATAGTTCAACCTCTTTCATGAGTGGGATTTTGTACTTGAACACCTCATCCTCGGTCAATCCTTTTTCTACTGAATCAACCTAACAAAGAAAGTATTTAAAAACTCATATTTAGGTTCGATAAACAGATTATTAAAAAAATTGAAGATGTCTTAATAGGACAAAGAAACAGAGTATAATGTTTTACGAAAAATTGATGCATGTGTTGTTCACATAGCTTACAACCATTGTCCACTCTTTTGTCAACTATGGTGCTATAGGTATGACGACTTCGGCTTGATCCTTGAAATAATTCACTTGCTCACATAGATTGTCGAGCTTCTGTTGCATGCTAAAGAGCACCTGGTCCTAAACACAATTTTTTGTAGAAAAATCAAAAAATTTATACAGAGATTAAAAAAAAATTAACTATTAGAAAAAACAAGCAAATAATTAGTTCACTTGTAACAATAGTTGAAAATCAACACATTTCAAGAAATAAATGATCTGTTTGTAACGTTTCTTACCACAGCACGGTAACAGAATGTTAAGTTGGAAAGTAGCTGGAAGCACCTGAAAGCTGCTAGGAGCTCAAATCAGTTACGAGGCACAGCTAGAAGTTAGTTAAATATAGTTGCTGTTAGGGTGGTTACGTTAGTTAATCCACATGTCAAATTTGTATTGGTTTTTGTAAATAGTTAGTTAGCTTAGTTAGTTTGTTTGTTATCTCAGCTTCTTATTTATATATAACTCAATGTAAAGTTCATTTCAAGTTTGAATAAAATCAATCAAGATCTTTTCATTTTTCTCAATACAGAATCAGAGCACTGATGCATTATTATCTATGTTCCTTTTCTTCTTCCTCTTTATCCTAAGAATATGAGTTGGCAAGGCTATGGTAAATGAGGCTGTTGATCAAAATCATCCAAGCAATTTCACATCAATGAGTCATTCCGCCATTGATGATTGTTCTAGCCCTTAGTACCTACATCACTCGGATAGTCCTAGATTAGTTCTTGTATCACAACCATTAACCAGAGACAACTATGTCTCATGGAATTGATCCATGATAATTGTATTATCGATGAAGAATAAGGTAGGTTTCATTGATGGATCCATACCTCGACCAGAAGGCAATAATGAGCTGATGAAATCCTGGATTCTCAATAATATTATTATGATTTCGTAGATCCTTAATTCAGTTTCTAAGGAAATCTCAGCTAGCATAATATATGTTGAGTCTGCACATGAGATATAGATGGATCTTAAGGAGAGGTATCAACAAAGAAATGGGCCTCGCATCAAGGGAATTAATGAATCTCAATCAAGACAATCTCATGTGGGAGTGTATTTCACAAAATTGAAAACCATTTGGGAAGAACTAAGTAACTACAGACCTGCTTGCACTTGTGGGAAATGCGAATGTGGGGGTGTTAAGAAGTTGACTGATCATTATCACATGGAGTATGTTATGTCATTTTTGATGGGGTTAAATGATCATTTGCACAAGTTAGAGGCCAACTATTGTTGATGGGTCTCATTCCTCCTATAAATAAAGTTTTTGCTCTAGCATCACAAGAAGAACATCAAAGGAGTGTAAATATTAATGTTAGATCATCTGATCCTATGGCATTCTATGTCAGAAATGATGCTAGGAAATCTACTACTGGGCAGCCTTATACCAAACACCAGAAGAAGGAGAGACCAATATGCACCTACTGTAGATTTAATGGCCATTCTATTGACAAATGTTACAAGTTACACAGTTATCCACCTGGATATAAGGCTAGGCAGAAGCCTGATCCTCACATTCGCATGAATCAAGTTGTTGTAAATCAAGTGTCTGAGTCCACTTCTGAACATAAATATGGAAAGGTAGGAGATTTTATGAAGTCTCTTAATGCTGATCAATATCAACACTTAATGAATATGTTGGGTGTCCATCTTACTTCAGCAAAGATGAATACTACAGATGAGACTAATGGTGTTTTATTCTTCTTTTTCTTCTTCTTCATTGAATCATTTTACACCAATTTCATTTTATTTTTACAAAAATATCAAATATGAAACTTGTAAAAAGCGTCCCGATCCATCGGTTTTTGGTTGAACCGGTCGGTTCCTAGTTTTTTGCACTGGTTTCTATGCATACGGTTTTTATATCATAATCGATTTGGTTCACGGGTTTTTTGGTTGAACTGATTGGTCCAATCTTATCCAATTTTGAAAGCATTGTTTATATATTGTAGTGAATTGTGATATTGAAAACGTTGATATATATAAGATAAAGATGACTAGATAAAAGGTTTTTCATTAAATTGAAATAAGAGAGAGTGACTCTATTCTTTTTTCTTTCACTCAAGCTTTGACTTAATTGTGTTTTCTAGACCAAATTTTAAGGAAACAAAATTTTATTACTCTAAATTATTTGTAATATCTTTTCATTTGTTTGATATTTTTGTCCTATCGAAATTTTTCTGAACATTATTATTAATGAGACAATTATTGTGTAAATAATCATTCAAGGGGGAGTATTATAAATAAAATAGTATTTGTAAATGACCACTATACACAAGTCTATTAACTTCTCTATATTATCTTCTCTTTTTTTCTCTAATTTATAATAGGTAAGAATATTTAGAGGAATAGTAGGGGTTCCACGAGATAATAATGCGTAACAATTATAAAAGTATGGTTAAAAAGTAATGTTGGATTTTGACAGAATTTATAGATCAATTTGTAAATTTATTTAATATGTTGAGAAATTTGTAAGTAATAATAATTCCATTATTTGCATAATCTAGAAACGACCTCCCAAATTCAGCGTTATACTAGAGAATTTTTGTTTTACTGCATGCATTGATATGATTGTATTACAAAACCATGTGTTCCTAATTAGTTATATTACTTCGAATGCATGATTAATTCCAATGAAGATTGTGCAAGCAATTGATCTTCAAATATTGTTATTTAAGTTCTTTCCTGATTGAATAACTTATCATATTTGTATCTTGAGCATTCGTCATTCAAATGTGGGGGTTTGTTTTATTTTCATTCATTTTCATTTTGGATTTTGGCTTATCCAAATCTCAAATGTCGAAATGGGAATGGTTTGATTCACAAGATGATTGACAATATGCCTCAGATACATACACCTGCAACCCATCATTTTCTCAGTTTTGACTATGAGCTACATACCAAATTTAAGCTCCATGTGTAAGGGCGGATGAGAATAGATTGTCAACTTCAAAGATATCTAGTTATTATAACATATATTCATTGGTATTTGTTTATTACCCGATTTGCATCACCTTATGAACTCAGTAACAATAAATTAATTACTTAATCATCATAAATAAATTCTCCAATAAGAAGAAAAACAAAATGTGATGATAGAAGCCGTAAAGATGAAGAGAATTGTGAATTGATAGAATGAGAAAACAAGGAGAAAGAGCGGAAAGAATATTATGAAATTGATTTCATTCAATTTAACTGAAATTACAGCAAGTATCTATATATATACAGCTCCACAACTCA